GAGAAAACCCAACAATTTATACCTCTTCAAAATTATCTTTAAGGGGATTGCTAGCGTTTATACACTTGACCATCCTACACTTTTGTTTTTAATTATTAAATTAAATTACTTGCAAATCTCATAATTACAATTAGCCAGAGGTTGAAATGCTGGACTTCTGGAGTGCCTAGTTATACAATCGAGATTTTGCAATGCATGACCATATACATCTTTAGTTCACTGATGGCCCATGGGTCACACCTCGACAATCCAACTTTTGATAGTGAATGCATTGATGTTCCTCAATTCTGCAGCGTTGACATATTGGCCTTAATCGATGCCGACTTAAATGCAGCTCCATTCTTTATTTGTCTTTATTAAATTAATCGACAAATACGATTAACTTATAACTCGCATTGACGTTCCTCAATTTTGCAGCGTCGACATAGCCTTCAGAAGGAAAAATAATTAAGTGATCCAGGCCCATTTTATTATTTGGTGATCTTTTTTGCAAGAGTAAATTTTTTCTTTCATTTTTGTCCCTTTCATTTTTTTCTTTTCCCATTTTGTCATCTTATTTTGTGAGAAAGAGCACCCCAAATTTTATGGGCCAGGAACACTACATTTCTTCTTCTTCAAGAATAAATTTTTAGTACTACTGCTGTACCTAAATTCAGTGCATCTCATCAATGAGAGCATTACACATCAGAAGAGAAAGAAAAAATCTGACAGAAAAAACAGAATTTTAGATAAGATGTAATATTTTCATTAGTGAGATATACTGAATCTTTAGTACAACAGTAATACTAAAGATTTATTAGAGGACAATTTTGACTTGCTTTGCTGCCACGCCTTTTTTTTTTTTTTGGTAAACCCGCCACACCTTTACTTTAAAGAAAATTCTCAAGTTGATGGGCATTTTCTAAATTATTGGTTGATGAATTAAGAAATGGACATGCGATTCCAACAGTCCGCTTTAATTGGGAGGCATGATTTGTATTTTAGATTTTGTAAAGGTGTATCTTTCAAATCCATATTATAATAAAAAAAATTTAAATAATTTTTTTTTAATATCTTAAATTCTTGATAACTCAAAAGGAAGATTTTATGTTATATTTTAAGGAAATAACATCTGTCCTTTTAAAGGATGCAAGTTTATATCTTTTTAGATCCTAACCGTTGATTTCCGTCCATCAACGGTTATAATTTATTGGATCAAAATTATTAATTAATTAATAATAATTTTGGCCCATTAAGTTTGACCTAATAGATTATAACCGTTGATCAACGGAAATCAACGGTTAGGATCTAAAAGGATATAAGCTTATATCCTTTAAAAGGATAGATGCTTTTCCTATATTTTAAATGGTAAAATATAAAATATGATTAATTCAATTACACAATTAATTATATTTATTACGAATGAATAATTTAATTAATTAAATAAATAATAAATTCATAGTTCCTAAAGTGAAAATGTGTAATTAATTTCGTTCATAATTTGTTGATAATGTTTATATATCCTATTTTTAAGAAGTAAGGTAATACATCTACCCAAAAAAAGAATACGTAAGGTAATACGACTCATTCTAAAAATATTTTATGTTGTTCTATTAAAGTATTATGAAATAATTAATTAAAATAACAAGTGCTACTTTTAATTCCTATATTTATATTTTTAAGTACAAGTTTGTTACAGTTTTTTTGAAAAAAAATTATTTTTTTAAATTCTCTCTAAAAGTTTAAAAAAATTAATTTTGTTTTAAACAAGCTAATTAAAACATGAACTATATTAACAAAGAGAACTTTTCAAACAAGTAATGGGGACTTATATTTTTACTTGAAATCAGTTCCAAATACATAAAAAATAAGGCTCAACTTTTACTGATATGGTAGTATGTTTAAATATATATTTAGATTAATTTATAAAAAATATCAAAAGTAATTTTATAAAAAGAATAAAATAAAAAAATAAAACCAGTCATTTGGACACTCATATATTTCTTATTTTTCTTATTTATTTTCTTCTATTTTTTTCAGTTTAATTTTTCTTTTTTATCTAGACTATTTCCATTTTTATTATTTTTCTTATCATTGTTGAAAGTTTTGAATATATTTGTTCCTATTTGTTCATATTTATCTAGCAATTCTGACACGTGACAAATGTGTTATACAGCATAGCATGTTATGTGTGTGTTATGAAATTAGCTAACACTCTTAAAAATAATTAATTAATAGTTATAAAATAATTTAAATTAATTATTTTAACTTAATTCAGTCTATATTAATTTTAATTATTTATAACTATTAATTAATTAATTTTAGGAGTATTAATTAATTTTATTTTATTTATTTTAAGTTATGTTAATTTTTTTGAACTGTTAAGTAATTTAATTTAATTAAGGAGTGTTAATAAATTAAATGTAATTTATGTTTGATAATTATTTTAGTATTATTTAATCTATATTAAATCATTTTATAACTATTAATTAATTATTTTTAGGAGTGTTAATTAATTTCATTTGAATTAATTTAAGTTAAGTTAATTTTTTGAACAGTTAAGTAAAGGAGCCAGGAGGAATAGTGGGCGACCCGCCTTGCCTGGCTTTTGAAAGTAGTCTGAAAATCAGTCCGCCCCGCTCTATTTGGCAGGTTGACACATCAGTTTGAGTCTATTTTACACTGATCCGTTTATGCCCACCATCAATCCATCAAAAAATGAGCTTGCCCCGCCCCACCTCGCTTTTGAAATAGGTTGAAAAACTTAGTCCGCCTCGCAGAGTCGAGTCTGTTTTGTCGATTTTGTCGGCTCTATCATTAAGTAATGTAATTTAATTCATGAGTGTTAATAAATTAAAGGTAATTTATGTTTGTTAATTATTTTAGTTTAATTTTATATTAATTTAAATTATTTTATGACACATACATGCTGCATAGCATGTTTGCCATGTGTCAGAATTGCCACGTGTCAGAAGCTAATTAAATATGCTATGCTGCATAGCTTGTTTGATGCCACATAATTTCGTTTTACTGTGCAGCGACTTATGTGGTCATGCACCTTCTGCCACATGTTAACAGTTGACTTGTCAGAAATTATAGCTAGTTAGGTGATGTGTTGGAAATTTTTTTAAAAAGCTTATCATTCAGGTAATTTTTTTAAAAAAAAAATGTGACACTTTAGAATTGTATGTTACTATGTCTGTATATTATTATTATTATTTTGAAATAAGTCGTCTAACCTCTATCGGAGTTAACATTCCAAAGTTCATTGTTTATAATTAATCTTCATGTGCACATGCTGTGTCATCGTGTTACGAGCTTTCTGCAAAAGTCCATGCTGATATTTCGCGCAATAATGCGAGAAAATCTGAACAGCCCATCGCATTGGATCCGGATCGTTTATTGTGAAAAATATATATTATAATAATGTGTATAATCCTAATCATATAAATTTTAATCAATAATAAAATTAAAAAATTTATTAAAATAAACAATTATAAAATTATAATCATTAATTCACTTTCATTGATTATAATCTTTTCAAGTAACCATATTCATTTTTTTTCACGATCCTTTCGCACCGCACTAGTATCCAAAAAATTGAAATTCTTTATTAACTGCAGCCGAACTAATCTATTCGATGTACATAAGATACAACAAAAAAAGAGAGATCATGAAAAACGAAGAATAAGGAGTAATTGTAATGTTTTTCTTTTTTATTAGACAATATAATTTGATAATATAATTTACAATTACATGTAATAATTACATTTTAATTTATCAGTAGTCATAAATATTTATTAATGATATTCTTAATCATAAATACAATTTGGGATTTGCATTTATCATGTCATAGGATACAAAAAATGTCTTACACACACAACATTTTGTGGGGCCCGCACTTTTTAAAGCAAAAATAAAATTACAGAACGCAAAACGAATCTCTATAACATTACACAATCACTTTTCCTACAACATAATTCTTATAAAACTCATAACATACAATTTACAGTTACCTGTATTATATTCAATGCTATTTATTTAAAGGAAATAATTTTGTTATGATATAAGAAAATGATTATTGTAGAAATAAAACTACATGTGTGATCCACCCGTAAGAGAAGAGAGAAAAATCAATAATGCTTACACAATTGCCCACTCAGCCTTGGGGTATAGCAATTGTGTCAAGCATACAGCTACCACTCTCCATGCAGCAGGTCTTCAACCGAGAAAAAGTGTAGAGAAGATGATAGCTTGGTCTTGTCCTCCGTTAGGATGGGTTAAACTTAATGTTGATGGGGCTAGAGCTGGTATTGGGAACAGATCAGGATGTGGTGGTGTTATTCGTGACCCGTCCGGAGCTTGGATTATCGGTTTCTGCAAGAATTTGGGGCCAGTACTGTTTTGCATGCAGAATTATGGGCTTGTTTGGAAGGTTTGCGTTTAGCTTGGGAAAAAGGATTTAGAAAAGTGTGGCTGGAAGGAGATTCCCTCTGCCCAACAAATTATTTCTAATGGGTGTCATCAGGATCACCCTTCGTCGAGCTTGGTGCAACGTATTAGAGGAATGTTGCAAAGATGCTGGCAGGTCCAGATTTTTCATGTCCATCGTAAAGGGAACAAAGTAGCTGATTTCTTAGCTTCACATGCGTATAGCTTTCCATGGGATGTGCAAGTCTTTGATGACCCTCCTCCTGGCTGTCTTCAAAGTTTATACAGCGACACTGTAGGTGTTCGCTGGGCTAGGTTCTGTACTTAGGCCTTTTTGCTGTGTTTTTCATTTCCTTTATCTTTCAAAAAGAGAGAAAAAAAAAGAGAGGTGGAATCCATCTTTCTTTTTTGTGCTTAAGAAAGTTGATTCGCTCGTGTAACCTTTTATTTAAATATAAATTGTATCATTAACGACAAATACAGTAAATATTATATTGAAAATAAACACCGCCACCCCCCTGTCTCCCCTATAAAATCTAGTGGGATGAAAGACGAAGTGGAACCAAAGAAGGAAAGAGGAGGTAACAAAAATGGGTTCATTGGATACAATCGAGAACAAGCCTCACGCAGTGTGCATCCCATACCCAGCACAAGGGCACGTAAACCCAATGCTCAAACTAGCAAAGATACTCCATGTCAAAGGTTTTCATATAACCTTTGTTAACTCAGAGTATAACCACAAACGCCTTCTCAAAGCCAGAGGTCCTGATTCCCTCAATGGCCTCCCTTCATTTCGTTTCCAAACCATCCCTGATGGTCTTCCTGAGACTGATATTGATGCTACACAGCACGTGCCTTCCCTGTGTGACTCCACTAGAAAAACTTGCTTACCTCACTTCAAGAACCTCCTTTCCAAACTTAATAATACTTCAGATGTCCCTTCAGTCACTTGCATAATTTCTGACGGTATCATGAGCTTCACTGTCGATGCTGCAAAAGAACTGGGTATCCCAGACGTGTTTTTCTGGACAACTAGTGCATGTGGGTTCATGGGTTACGTCCAATATGAACAACTCATTCACAAGGGCTTAACACCCCTCAAAGGTTAACTCATTTCTTTGACAATGTAAAACGGTTTTCTAGATGAAAAATTTACTCTTTGTGATAGATAAGTCTTAGATAACTTATATTAAGGATTTGTTAGCTATGAAGAAGAAAAAGTGATTTATATGAGTTTAATTAAGTGAATTCTTTGTTTGACGTGCAGACTCAAGTTATATCACAAACGGGTATTTGGAGACTAGCATCGATTGGGTGCCAGGCATCAAAGAAATCAGACTGAGGGATATTCCCACCTTCATAAGAACCACAGACCCAGATGATCTTATGCTTGATTACGTACAGTGGGTGTGCAAGAAAGCAAGGGAAGCTTCTGCAATTATTTTGAACACGTTTGATGCCTTAGAGCATGATGTTTTGGAGGCATTCTCGTCCATTTTGCCTCCTGTCTATTCCATTGGTCCCTTGAATGATGTTGCTGATAAGGAATTGAAAGCTATTGGGTCGAACCTTTGGAAGGAGGAGCCAGAGTGTTTGGAATGGCTTGACACCAAAGAACCCAACTCTGTTGTTTACGTGAACTTCGGGAGCGTCACGGTTATGACAAATGACCAATTGATTGAGTTTGCTTGGGGACTTGCTAATAGTAACAAAACCTTTTTGTGGATTATCAGACCAGATCTTGTGGCTGGTGAAAACGCTGTTCTGCCTCCAGAGTTTGTGGCAGAGACAGAAAACCGAGGCCTATTGTCAAGTTGGTGTGCTCAAGAGCAAGTGCTGGCTCACTCAGCAATTGGAGGGTTCTTGACACACAGCGGTTGGAATTCAACATTGGAAAGTATTTGTGGAGGTGTTCCAATGATATGTTGGCCTTTCTTTGCGGAGCAACAAACCAATTGCCGATTCTGCTGCAACGAATGGGGGATTGGAATGGAGATAGAAGATGTTAAGAGTGACAAAATTGAGAGCCTTGTGAAGGAGTTGATGGATGGGGAAAAGGGTAGAGTGATGAAAGAGAAAGCTTTGGAATGGAAAACACTGGCACAAGATGCTGCTTCTGCCCCAGATGGATCTTCCTTTCTTAATTTGGACAACATGGTTCGGCAAGTTCTTTTGGGAAAAGTTTCTAAAGTTTAGTATTTAGAAAAGCTCAAGTCAGTTTACCAAGTCCTCCTTGTGGCTACATTTGAATCCTATTGGATACTTCAAGCTAGTTAGTGTCCCAATTTATCAATTCGATCACTTGTTTCTAATAAATGCCAATGTTTGTGAGTTTTTACTAGACAGGGCTAGCTTTTATTATTTTTTCTCTTGCTTAAAATAAAACTTAAACTTTGTGAGGGTGTTTTTATCTGTATTTCTTTAACTTTTTCTTTTCATTTGCTTAAAATATTTTTAATTTTAATAATTAAGTTAAATTAGTCAATTGTGACTTTGTATTTACCTAAATTTCTAATTAACGGTCATACTAGTAAATTCTAAATATAAAAAATACGTCCTAATTACCATATTAGCTTCTTCTTTTTTTAGATTATCATGCACTATAATAGAAAGAGAATTTAATGGCAGTTTTTACTTCCCCCGAAGTATTAAAGTGAATGTAATCATACTCCTTAACAGTTTTAACTGCTATTATTTGTTTTTTTAACATTGTGTTGTGTACATTGGGGGCGTACCGCCATTAAGTTTATCATGGCTGTTTCTGCTTTTAACCATTTTTGTCTTTTTTTTCTTAATACATTCAGGTCACTATATGTCCTATGAACATACATTTCTTGCACTTGATAATTAAATTCTCCATTTTCAAAATTTTCGAAATAAAAATTAAGAATAACATAAGAATGCATAGAAGTTTTGAATAACTATTTAAGGTACCGATAATATAAGTAAACAAGTCACTATTTATAGGCCACTTAAGGTAAATTCAATCCTACAATTAATCATCCTGTGGCATGACATGAACTCAACTTCAAATATAATACTAATCAATTTTGCCTCGGTTCACATCTAGCTAAAGAGCACCGTCGGCACACTAGGAAAGGCCTGGTCTCTACTTCCCAAAACTGATGCCTGCAAACAAAGTAACAAAATCCATCGTTTGAAAAGCCATAAATATAATAAAGAGATTGATTGCAAATTTGAAAGTGCACTTTGAATAAACTATTGCTTTAAAGTAATAAAAAAAAAATCAATTAGAAGTGGAGATCAACATTATAAATGTATGCAGGAAGAGCAGAAAATATATGAAGCATTAGAGTACCGAAGGGAACAAGATTAAGAAAAGGACATAGACTTATCTGGCAGACTAACAGGGCTCAATTTGTCAAGAATATTTTCAAAACACAATGCCACTGCAAAGTCATGTCTTTCAAAATAAAACATATGCTGGGGTGTGTGTTCCTTCATCTTTTGGACATCAAAGCAAGGTTGAAATCCTAGACCTTGCACACTGTGACATTGAGAGCTTGCCTTCATCCGTAAAAAATCTTACAAGACTGCGACATCTAAGCGTAGGTGGTTGTCAGAAGTTTCGGACTCTACCCATGCCAACAAGATAAATGTGTTTATAGGTAGTTACTCTTTTGACATTTCTTTGATATGTCTCTAGAATGGTACTTTGTTATTCATCAATAATACAACTTTCAACTTGTGGAATGGAACAATTATTGACCAATGTAACCTATTTCAAATTCAAGTGATTGAAGCTATAAACTCTGACGAATTTCCAGTAAAAGAATTTGACTAATACTATATTCATAAATAACTAAGACCTTACGATAGATTTCGAAAAGTATAATGTACTTAAATCAGATACTTTATAATAGTGACGCCTAAAACAAAATATATTGGAGTGTATGCGGTGAAAAGTGCATGATGTTCTGAAGGATGTCAATGTATCCCTATTATGCTAAGCTATGGTAAAAGTTGCCAAATATTTCCTTCACTGCCCTTATATAATTAGTGTTTGTACACTTTTGCCATAGTTTTAGCTGCAACTTCATATTCTAGAATTGAATGTCATTTTGAGGCATTTGGTGCCAAAGCATTAAAATTATAAGAAAACAATTATTTACTACAAAAAAACCGGTGTTTAGCCACATTTTCTTTATACCTTTTTTTTCCCTGTAGGCTAGCTACCACTTATTCTATGGTTTCTATTTTGAAAGCCATTAGAGTTGCAAGATGGAGCAGTGTTGGTGGGCAGACGCCGCAGACTGGGAAAGATCTTTCTTACTTGCTTACTTCACTTTCTTAGTTAGTGAGTGGAGAGAAGGACTCATGGGATGAGGCCTGAACGTAGCGTACTCCCTCTATAGCCTCAGAAGGGATATGTAACCGAAGTGTGATATAGCCTGAGGGAGGATAAATGTGGCTAAATTGCTGAAAAAACGTGGCTAACAAAAACAATCACACTCTTTATGAATGTGGCTAATTATGGCGTTGCAATATTCTAGCCACATTTATTGTTTCACTTGGCCACATTTTGTTTGAGTATGGTAACATTTGTTTAGCTATAGTTATTGATTATTTTTAGCATGGTTTAACCGTGGCTATTCTAATGATTTTTTTAAAAAAAAAAATTATGATAGCCTTGTTGTGGCTAAGTTTATAGAACAAAAAACAAATAAAAGGAATAAAATTCATAGGGAAAAATGGATATAAATTACATTTAAGGTAACTTCAACATTGATTTGTTTATCTCATGAAGTAACCTAACACTTTCAACATTCTTTCATTCCTTTGCTTGAGTCTCAATTCTATCTTATTTGAAACATTAACCAACAAAGATCTCCTTCATGTCACCCCTTTTGCAAAGAACCTCGTCAATTTGGATAACAACAATGCCACCCTTTCCAAGGTCTTCTATTTTTTTCTTTGATAGCCAAAGCAATCTCGTAGCAGGTCTAATATCTGCAAATAGATTCATACATAGGTTAGAAATAAAAATATGAAAAATATTGATAATTTCTCTTTTTTGGCTTGTTAATGTTTATTTTTTCCCACTGCATTATAAGGTATCTTTACTTTATACTTAGGTCGATCATTTCTAATAAAAGACCCATTGAGAATGATCACAATGTCAGTAAGCATTTGCTTCATTGGGCATTTGGTGAAGCTCTGAGCAATAGAATGGCAGATTTAGAGAGTAACCAAAAGAAAGATTGACATCAAATGTCGTAGAAAAAGTTAAAATCTTTGTTTTGCTTTCTGTCATTGACTAAAATATTGAAAATGTCTAAATTTAATGAATAGCAATCCAACTTTTTTAACATAAACTTAAGCTAAAAATTTCAACCCTCAGACTAGGACCCACTTTCCATAATCTGTACATCAAGCAAATGTCAACAACGCCATTAAAATGATGATTAAAATAGACTTAATAAAGCTTAATTCTCTACAGGTACTAAAGTCACTACAAAAAATAAGTCTTTTAGCCATGTTTAAAAACGTGGCTAAATTTCGTTAAAAACGTGGCAAAACGAAACTACCACAGTTTTGCCGAATGTGGCTAATCCTGGCGTGACATTTATTTAGCCACATCTTCCTCCAATGTGGTAACATTATTTTGGCCACGCGTTTTTTTTACATTAGCCACATTACAAATGTGGCTAATTTATAGGGGAGAAATAAAAAAAGTAATACATTTCTATTTCTTTTATAATATGCCGCTGCCATAATTTTTTTTTTTTGTCAATTAACCTTTTACCAAAAAAAAATCTACCCAAATTAATTAATGAGATCTATATCTAGTTTGTTAAGAAACTGACCTGCAATTCTCCCTAAGTGCAGCCTGTCCCAAATAAAGCATGCATACAAAGCTATTATCGCAAAAGGGTCTTGGCAAAAACAAAAACCACCATGCACAATGGTAAAGTTGTAACAAATAGAATTGCTTGCAGTTCCAAACACCAACAATATAACTATTATTAATAATCTTATGTCTATTAACCCCATTGTCATTTGTGGAGACAACCAACAATATTCCACCTAATCCTGGCACCCAAAATTCCAAGAATTCTGAGCTTTGAGGAATTTGTATACAGGTGTTGTATCTGGTCCATTGACACGTATCTACACATAAAAAGGAATTAAATGTGTTAAATTTATAACTCAATGCTTGGAAGATATATAGGAGATTAAAGAATTGCAGGAGTACTGTTGCCCCTTTGTGGTTATTGTATTTTAATTAGTAAAGTGATGTATGGTTATTGTATTTTAATTAGTAAAGTGATGTATATAGTTCATTAAGTTATGTACCAGTTACAAACTTAAAATATTTAAACTGTGTAAGTAATGAACTTAAACATCGAGATCAAGTAGCCTTCAATGAGAACATATAATCTAAAAATCAAATCAAGAAATTTCTATATTATTGTCCTCTCATTCATTTTGGAATTTTCTTACTCACCCAATATTTATTTTTTCTTTCAATCCCACAGAAAAAAATGAAATATATCATAAAGTAAAGGATCCAGATGCCTATACATACAATTAAAAAGCATCTTACATTCCCAAAAATGGGATAATCAACCTTATATTTTGTACAGAAAAACTCTTGTACCTCCTGGCTAGTCCCACACTCTTTCTTCAAAAATTGGTTGCATGGAAATGCCAATATCTCAAAACCTGACATCAACAAACAAAATATATATTCTCAACTGTGATCAATATTCCGTTTTTCCCATCAATCTAAATAATTAATTAGTTGAAAATGAATAGGTCGTTGCAGTTTATATTAAACTTAGCTATGGCTTTGACAAAGGCAGGGATCTTTTCTCTGCCGTCATGTGGGTCTCTGCTGCATAGAGAGACATTCAAATGTTATAAAGTCCACCAATAATAAATGTTTATAAAGTTCTACGTAGATACAAGCAACATAATTAAAAATAAACATTTAAGTAGAACTACAATACTACTACGTTACTTTTTACTATTTTCATTTAGAAGTTATCATGCCAAATATTTTAAAAATTGCAATTGAAGTTAAAGGAAAAAGAAATGTGTTATATGTATTGCAATATAATATTAAATAATGTCTTTTTTTGAAAGTGGAGCAAAACGAAAAAACCACAAAGCTAGATATAAAATCCACATGTGTCTTAGTATTGATTCATGACAAAACAAAACATAGCTGCACTACATTTAAAATCACCAAATAATTAATTACTATACATGGAAATTGGACAACCAAGTAACCTTGTAACCCAATGATAATAAAGCATCCATTTAGTTAGTCTACAAGCAAGAAAATCAACAGAAAAATCTTTTAAGAAGCATAACTATTGGGAATCTCACCGATCAACTATAAGAGAGACCGGGATTAAGACTTTTTTATATTTCAATGTTTAGATAGTAGAAATGGCTCAAGTCAGATGGTTGTTGCGTTGCAAGAATATACATTAGTTTTCTAGATTCAGGGAATAATGGTTCTTTTATACAACTCTTTCAGGACTAATAGACAGAGAAGCCTCAAACATTATGCTGAGTTCGCAGAATAAAATGATAAAAAATGGTAACTCAAATAATATAATTTACCTTCACCGACATGATTGAACCGATTAAGCCTTGTGCAATTTCTTGGATAGGTTTATCTGGTTCTACCCAAAAGGATCTAAGTTACAACAAGTAGTCAACGGTTACAACTCCATTTGCTTTAATAACTACACAACAACTAAAATATATCCACATATGACTAAATGGCATGCTTAAGATAGATTAACATCCCAAATGTTGAAACAATAGAACTGCCTTGCATAGCAAACCAGAAAATCTTCATCTGTATAATATTATAGGTTATGGATACCAAAGAATACTAAAATCGCAGACATGAACGAGTAAGAAATTCTCAACAATATGACAGAAAAAATTTATAATATTATGCACGAAATCTATTTAATTTACATACTAGTGACATTAAACTGTCCAAAGTAAAACTGCCATTAAGACATTTTTTTGTTCATCTAAAATCAGAGAAAGATAGAGAGATGATTGAGGATGAATATATGGATACCTTTAGGCTTTAGATGAATGCAATGGGCTCGGCTGTGCGAAAGGGAGAAACCCCGGAATAGAGAAAAACTGAAGGAGGAGGCCTCCAGTCCTCCACCATTAAAAGTTTCAACCTCTGTCCTTGTACCTTGTGTGAAGCTGAGTTAACAGGGCATAACTGGCATCTACAAACCCACTGTTTTTTGAATGTGCATGAATTCAGTTAGCCAAAATTTATTAGAATAACTCTATTATTTGATAAATTATTGTTTACAACATTGGAGATAAGAAACAACCTGACAACTTTGGCACACAAACTTGTATAAGAATTACTAAATATCTTCCTGTAACATACATTATAAAGTTTAAGTTAAGCTCATTCTAAGCATAGAAATTAAGAATCCACATGGATAGAAAGCTATCACAAACAGCACACCAACATCTACTCTTAAAAGGACAATTTCTGTAACAATGATATAAAAGTGATAAATGGTATCAATTGATAGTATTTCCATTGATTTAAAACTGTACATCAATGTATCTTAAATAGAATAGGCTGTTACGGCTGTTACCAAACAGTCTGTTACCAAATAGTAAAACAACTTCCTAAAGATAAATAACTACACCTAATTACAATAGGACTCAGTTATACATATCCTAACAAACTACAGGTTACAACATATCACAGCAAATCATAACAACATATAGAATCTTCTATTCCAACACTCCCCCTCAAGTTGGAGCATGAAGACATGAAATGCCTAACTTGGAAAGAACGGCAAGAAATGGAACACGACCAAGTGCTTTGGTGAAAATGTCTGCGAGTTGCAAATGAGAACGAACAAAAGTAGTTCGAATCGTCTTAGAAACCAACCTTTCCCGGACAAAATGGCAATCAATTTCAATGTGTTTAGTTCGCTCATGGAACACAGGATTTGCCGCGATATGTATAGCGGCTTGATTATCACAACATAATTCCATAGGATCATCATGGATAACATCAAGTGAAGCAAGAAAAGACTTCAACCATATCAATTCTGCTGTCGCGGCAGCCATGGAGCGGTACTCAGCCTCTGCTGAGGAGCGTGAGACAGTGAGTTGCTTCTTTGTTTTCCAAGAAACAGGTGAGGTTCCAAGCATAATGAAGAACCCAGAAACTGACCGGCGAGTTAAAGGGCAGCTGGCCCAATCTGAATCACAGAAAGCATGAATTTTGAGATCACTTTTGGAAGAAAGGAGGATACCTTGGCCAGGATTCATTTTGATGTATCTTAGTACCCGAATGGCAGCCTCATAATGTGCTTCCTTTGGAGCTTGCATGAACTGTGAAAGAGTGTGCACTACATAACTCAAATCAGGACGAGTGATCGTAAGGTACACTAGCTTGCCGACAATTCTTCTATAGCGACCTGGATCATCATAGTCAGGTCCATCTGCCAGAGCTAAGCGATGATTCTGTTCAATTGGAAACTGAACCGGTTTACAATCCAACAAACCTGTTTCTTTGAGGATATCTAATGCATATTTTCGTTGGCACAAGAAGATACCCTCATTGCTACGGGCAACCTCGATGCCCAAAAAATATTTCAAGTGACCCAAATCTTTAATTTTAAAACACTTGTTAAGATAAATCTTAACCTCTTGACATGCTTGGGAATCATTGCCTGCCAACACCAAATCATCAACATAGACTAGTATGGTCAAGAAGGTAGAACCACGCTTCAAAGTGAACAAAGTGTGATCTGCTTCGGATTGAACAAAACCGTATTTAATAAGTGAGGAACTCAACTTTGCAAACCAATTCCTGGGAGATTGTCGTAAGCCATATAACGACCTTTGCAAACGACACACTTTTCTTCCTTGTCCTTGATTAAAGCCTGCCGGTATGCGCATATACACTTCTTCGTCCAGTTCTCCATTAAGAAACGCATTATGAACATCCATTTGGTGCAAGTACCAACCTTTTGCAGCTGCAACCGAGAGTAGAGTTCTAACACTCACCATTTTCGCTACAGGAGCGTAAGTTTCATGGAAATCTTCTCCTGGAACTTGATGATTACCTGCAATTACCAACCTTGCTTTGTAGCGCTCGATGCTACCATTGGAATGATATTTAATTTTATATACCCATTTACATGGAAGGGCATGTTTGCCTGCAGGTAAATCAGTGATAGTCCACGTATTATTTTCTTCTAGTGCATGTATCTCCTGAGCCATAGCTTTACGCCAAACATCATTGGTCATTGCTTCAAATGACCGAGGTTCACTACCTGCATCAATAGCAGCAACAAAAACTCGATGTTTTGAAGAAAAATTGTTAGTATTCACATAGTTGGCAATTGGATACCGTATACCTGAGGTGGAGCTAGAAGAGGTGAGACTGGGAGTGTATGTATGTGCCTCAATCAGATTACATTTGTAGTTACTCAAATAGGACGGAGGCCTTCGTGTGCGTGCTGGACGAAGAGAATCGTTTTGAGCTGATTCTGCACTTCTTTGCACAAGTTCGTGAGCTGAATCTTCATTCCTTTGTACGAGAGCAGGAGCTGGATCCTCACTCCTTTGCACTTGATCAGCATTTGATGTAGAATCTTCATTCGGCTCCCTTTCAGACTGATGGACACTCCCCCTATCTTCCAACTGCACTTCTGCCTCACAATCATTTGAAGTTGATTGAGATACTGGATTGGCAGAATCATTAGAATCTATTGGTATAAATGTAGGTAATGATGGGCTAGGTGTAGGCACACTTATAGCAACAAAAGGAAACTCATCTTCGTGGAAACTGACATCTCGTGACACAAAGAATTCCTTAGTATTAAGATCATACACTGTCCAACCTTTCTGCCCATGAGGATAACCAACAAACATACACCGCCTAGACCGTGGACTAAATTTGTTTGTAGGTTTTGGTTGTGTCACCGCATAACATAGGCAGCCAAATATCCTTAAGTGACTGTAATCAGCAACAGATCCATGCAAAAGCTCATAAGGAGTTTTGCCATTGAGAAGCTTTGTGGGAGTTCTATTAATAATATGAGCTGCTGTCATCACACTCTCTCCCCAGAATTTGATTGGCAAGTTTGCTTGAAACAAAAGAGCACGAGACACATTTAGAATATGCCTATGCTTCCGTTCTACCCGACCGTTCTGTTGCGGCGTATGAACACAGGATTTCTGATGAAATATACCATTGGCAGTGAATAATTCAATCATCTTGTTGGAAGTAAATTCAGTTCCATTATCTGATCTAATACTCTTAACTGTTGTATTAAACTGATTTTGCACCATTAAAAGAAATTTTCGTAACACACCAAAAGTTTCACTTTTGTCACCTATCAAACAAACCCAAACAGCACGACTGAAGTCATCGACTATCATTAAAAAATAATAAGCACCAGAGAAAGAGGAAGTGCGGTAAGGACCCCATGTATCACAATGAAGAAGATCAAAAATTTTATTACTCTTTCGATCACTAATGGGAAACGAGGATCGATTTTGTTTGGCACGATAACAAATATCGCATGCCTTATTGTTTACATTGCCAAATCGAATGCTACTAGAAAAAGGAATCAGAGAAAGTGCTTCGGATGATGCATGGCCCAACCGCTTGTGCCAAAGTTCTTGCGTATCACTGGAGCGAACTGTTAAAGCTGCTGCTTGGCTTGGTCGAAACACATACACACCATCCCTGTGATCACCCAATCCAATCTCCGTCCTCAGCTTGCGGTCCTGCAAAACACAACTATTATGAGTGAATACCACATCAACATTATGTTGTCGTACCAACTGAGATACAGATATCAAGTTACACTTTAAATTTGGCACAAATAAGACATTGGATAATGAAAAAGAAGGAGTAAACGAAACAGATCCTTGTTGCGCAGCATAAGTAATAGCTCCATTGGGTAAACCGATTGCCAAAGGTTCAACATCTGTAACATTCTCCAGCAATTCCAATACCCCTGTCATGTGGCGTGATGCACCACTATCTATAAGCCAGTGACAATGGGAATCTTTACGATTTAATTTGTCCTTTGAGCGTTGCGGGTTGTCAACCAATGATAACAATTGTGTCACCACGTCAGGTGTCAGAACGGCGAATGCATTTGCTTGCTCTAGTGGTTCCTCCGTTTGAGCTGCGTGTGCACCAAATGGCTTTGCATGGAATCCTCCTTGTGGGTTACTGCTCCAATTCTCGTAGTTGGCTTCTCCTCTCAGCATAACGGTTGTTAAAAGAATCCCTGGGCTATCTGATCCAGTCAGATAGAATGGTGATCCAGGGTCTGATGGCTTCAACCTGCTGCTGTTTTCATTGGCCATCTTCAACAGAAGCTATCTCCTGCTCACTGTTTTCAGAGTCTACACGTTGCAGAAGTTTTTTTTTTTTTAACAAGGGATCGCTCTGATACCATGATAAATGGTATCAATTGATAGTATTTCCATTGATTTAAAATTGTACATCAATGTATCTTAAATAGAATAGGCTGTTACGGCTGTTACCAAACAGTCTGTTACCAAATAGTAAAACAACTTCCTAAAGATAAATAACTACACCTAATTACAATAGGACTCAGTTATACATATCCTAACAAACTACAGGTTACAACATATCACAGCAAATCATAACAACATATAGAATCTTCTATTCCAACAAAAAGCATTAGCAAAATCCATATTGAGTGTACAATAGAAAATAACTCTGGCATTAGCCATGGTGTAAGTTTTGGCCTACATGATGCACTTTGCAAATAGTTCAATATGAGTGAGATATTTTCAAGCATAGGATGATGAAAAGTAAATTGCAATTTATACCAACTTATTTGAGCCAATACCAATAGTCCAAACCAATAAGCCATCGTACAAAAGCAGACTCTCATATTAGTTAGGAAAATTCAAGTATTAGCAATACAGGGTGGACCATATATATTGGCAGAATATACCCTTCAACTAAAATATATAGGAGTGTTGTTGTAATTCAAAATTTATTACCATTGGAATCAAAGACACGAGTATCCACAAGAAAATCATAGTTTTTATACCATTCATGACATTCAAATACCCAAATGAAGATGATATAAAAATTTATGAGTACAAATATTTAGATGAAGGACAAGTATATGCATTATTCTTAATAATAGTTATACTCACAGCGACATATTGAACCAAGGTCATCAGTTGTCACATCACCATATCTGCCTCATCTTTCAAGTGTATGCACTGTTTAAAAATTGTTGTGGCACAAGTATATGCAATTTCCTCTGAAGCTAACTTTCTTCTCACCATCATGTGTCAAAGCCAAAACTGGCTTAGTCCTACTTGTGGCTCCTCATTGTCCCTTCACGATAGCAAACTCTATAATCCTTGGTTTTGGCAAATTAATAATAAAAAGGGATAACTGACCATAAAATATAGAAGTTAATAAAATAAGCATGTTTGAATCTTCACATCTATCACACAAAAATGTACATGTGACTAGAAATAAGCAAATGATGAAGGAGAACATATTCAAATGTACATGTTTACGTGGGAAAAAAAAACCAAATTCCAATTACATTGAAATTGAAGAAGTTTCCCAGTAACTATAGAAATGGCAAAACATACATATGACAGTAAGAAACCGAGCTTTGGAAGTTCTCTGACATATATATATATATATATATATATATATATATATATATATATATATATCATAGTTATTAATAGCGAGTAGCAGCCGATAGCGGCCAAGCTCAAAAATGCTATAGCGGTATAACCGCTACAGCGAAGTCCATAAAAAAATTAATTAAAATTAAAAATATACATTCATAATTAATCCTGTTGTCACTTTCATTCCAAACAAGGATTCAAAGAATATAAAGGAAATAATATAAATTCCTTGAAAAGAACTACATTAACAAAAATCAAGGAACATAAGGAAGGATCTAAATATTGTCAAATATGAATTTTAATGGTCTATTTCAAAATCAAGAAAGGAACTAAGCAAAATCATCATCTCCACCATCTTCTAAGAAGTCTTCTCCATCCTCACTGTCACTAGTACTAAAATTATAAATTCGTTCTTCCTCTTCTTCAATTTCTTCATCACCACCACCTTCATTATCAACACTTTCTTTTTCCTTTCCATAGTGCTTGAAGGCATAGAGGTAGCTTGTTTCTTCATTCTTCACCAGCACCACTTAAATCAACAACAGTTCCCCAAGTCAAGGTATCATAATGAAAAATGAAGTCATCTTCAGCAGCTTCATCATCTCCACCCCTTTTTCTAACCAACCATTCATTACTCTCATGAATGTCTTTTAGAAGAATGGGATCGATCACATCACGACTCTCGAAACGTTGTTTAAGAGCTTGGTTATATTTAATAAAAACCAAGTCTTGCAACTTTTGATGCTCAAGCTTGCTTCTCTTCTTGGAAGGAATATATTTTATAATTTTTCATAAAGAATATTAGTTTCAAAATCAATATATGAAATTGTATAAAAAATTTAACCATTCAACATTTACTTACATGCTCAAAAGTGCTCCAGTTATGCTCACATCCCGATGAACTACATGTCAAGCTTAACACTTTAATGGCAAGGTCTCGCAAAATTGGAGCCTGTGTTCCATACATCTTCCACCACTGAGCTGCAATGCAAATTGCAACAACACATTAGCATCACTATATGTTTTGCCTTTAAGAGAGTGATAAAAAATGCACTCTTACTTACCAAGAGCTATTTTAGTTCTCTGTCTTATTGTTGCCTTCATACCAAAGATGCCTATGGCTTTCCTATATGTTTCCAATTCAATTGAAATCTTATCCACTTGTTGTTCACTTGTACTCAGCCTCTCAATGCATTTATAAAGTCCAGCCATCACTTCTATGTCATCATGAATTCTTGAATTGCTATAAAAAACTCAGGGTTTAGATAATGGCCTGCAGTATGCAATGAGTGATGAAGTTGACATTCCCATCTTCTATCAATAATAGCAAAAATGTCATTGTATTTGTCTTCATTTCCATTGAAAGCTTTTTGAATAACTTCTTTAGCCCTATCCATTGCTTCATATATGTATCTCATTGCAGGCTTTTTTTCATTATCAACAAGTCTAAGGACACGGACAAGAGGCCCCATAGCCTTAAGAGAATAAACAACATCATTCCAAAATGAAGGCATAAGTACAAAATGAAGGCATAAGTATAGTGTTGCTTGCCCTTTTTGCCTTAGGGTCTTTTGCTGTCTTAGACTTCAACCAATCATCGGAAGTGAACATCTTTCTAAGTTTGTTTTTTTGGTAGTGCAACCTTTGCAATGTGAGGAATGTCGTTGCAAACCTTGTGACTCCATGCCTCACCAATTCCGTCTTGCTTGTGAATTTTCTCATTGTGTTCAATGCTAATGAATGATTGTAAATGAATCCTACAAGACTGATGCCTCTTAGTATTGTTTTTTTGACTCTATCAATCTTTCCAATGTCTTCCAACATCAAGGCCAAACAATGGACAACACATGGAGTCCAAAATAGATGTCGTTTCTTGGCTTGTAACAAATTGCCTAAGATAATCAAATTAAATAAACTAAAATAAATAACGATTAAAATTAAAAATAGAAATTAAAATATAAAACGAGCCATAAATAGATTATCAATTTCCGGCCAATACAAAATTACTTCCATTGTCGGTCACCACTTGCACAACATTTTGTTAATCGATCTCTTCTACAAAATCATCCAAAAGCTTAAACACCTTTTCCCCAGTCTTAACATGAGCGAAAGCATCAACACTCTTCACAAACATACTTCCCGATGGACAATTTACCAAGAAATTTATCAAGGTCATATTCTTCATATCCGTCCATCCGTTTGACATAATCGAACATCCATAATCAGCTCGTTGTAACTCGTGATCCTTTAACAATTCCTTTGTGTACTCCAACTCCTTTTTAAGGAGTGGAACTCTGCATTCATAAAAACTTGGAACCTTTAGATGTGGACCATAATTCCCAATAGCTTCAACCATCAACTTAAAGCTTTTTGAACGTACAACATTAAAAGCTATTCCATTCGTGCACAGAAATCTCTCAATGTACTGAACAGTTCTAGCCCTTACTTTCTTATCACAAGCATCATTTATGCTTGTTTACTTTTTTCCTTTTACGAATTTGATACTTGCTTCTGGATTTTTGAAAAAAAGTAACCTTTGATGCTCTTGGCAGCAACAACTTCACTTGTTGCTTTTCTTTTTCCGCTTCGAATGTTATGAATTTCTTGCACTTCTTCTACCTCATCATCATCTTCATGTATATCAACCGAGTATGCATCTTTTCAGCTTGCTTCTCAATATAGGCTTCCTTGAGTATCTTCTTAATTTCGGGTGGGATCTTTTTACACGGATTGACATTTCCCTTCAATCCAATTTGGTGTCTTTTAGCCCTTGTAATTCCACCGGTTGTTGTTTTCAAACAAAAATCACACACGTGACATATCTCTTATTATTGAGATCCTTTAAACTATTCCATTTCCACGCCATATCGAGGTTTTCCCCTATGAGTTTCACCAAACCACAAGAAGAGACAGAGTTTGCAGTGTTTTGTGGTGGAGTGATATCATCATTGGCAGATGTTGATGCCATAAATTACTAAGTAAAACTGAAAAGATGAAAAATATAACATATTATACATAAACAAAAATATTTAAAATATAATATAATATTAAATATAACAGATCATAATATTAATACATTTTAATAAATTAAAATGTTCATATTAATATATTTACATTTTTAACATATTCAGTATATATATATATATATATATATATTAATAACATACTCAGATTTCAATTAAAAATGATAACATACTAATTAATAAAATATTATAAAGTTTTATAATTATTTCTACAAGATTAATATTAGAGATGGAGGAAGGAAGGGGTATAAATTAATAAAAAGAAGAAGAAAACAACGTGGAGGCCATGGGCTGAATAAATCAAGTGCGTGTGTTGTTTTTGTATAAAAACGTGGAGGCCATGTTTTTGTATAAAAAATTATTGTATTATGCTCAAAGGCAAAACGTGGAGGTCATGGGTTGAATAAATCATTTGCGTGTGCTGTTTGTGTATAAAAACGTGGAGGCCATGTTTTTGTATAAAAAATTATATTACATTCAAAGGCAAAACGTGGAGGCCATGGGCTGAATAAGTCAAATACGTGTAATGTTATATGGAGTTTTCATATATTATATTATACCCCAATTCTTAATACTCTGGCCATGTCCTTTTAAAATTATATATAATGAATAATATATTCTGTAATATACTGATTATATCATATTCAGAGTGTTCATGTAAAATAAAATTATAATAAACAAAATATTAAAAACATTAAAACATAGCAGTACCCATTATAAATAAAATATTAAAAATATTAAAAACATAAGGAAATCAGAAAACATAAAATTATATATAATAAATAATATATTTGTAATATATTGATTATATCATATTCAGATTGTTCATGTAAAATAAAATTGTAACATATAAATAAAATATTAAAAACATTAAAACATAGCGGTACCCATTATAAATAAAATAATACAAATATTAAAAACATTAAAAAAATAGCAGTACCCGTTAAGTATCGTTGGTGAGGAAATCAGTGTTGCTAAATATCAATCCGAAGAGAGTTTGAAGGCAGAAAATAGAAAGGCTTAGTCGTAGAAAAGAGATTGAAGGTAGAAAATATAGGAGAGAGAACAAAGGTAAAATATGAATGAAAATTATATATATATATATATATATATATATATATATATTATATACCTCCAACTATCAGTCATAACACTAAAATTGCTTCTGTGAGAGGAAGTTAATTCCTATAATATATCGATTTGGCACCACAAGCATTTCCAATTAAAGTGAATTCAAATTTAATTTCAAAATAGAAAAGCAAATCACACTGATACTGGGAAATGCAAAAGCAAAGATAAAAAAAGCATCACTACAATAAAGATTTTCAAAATTTCAATTGCAAATAAAAACACAAAAGACGATCTAAGAAAAAATAGTAGTATAGCAGTCACGTACACGAAGTTGTTCTCCCATGTTCGGTTTCCATTGTACAATCGAAAGCATCAACATCGATGGAAGGAAAGTAAGAGATGGCGAAAATGAATGCTAGAACCAGAGAGTAGAGGAAATTACCGTCTAGATCTGTACAAATAGCCTTGGGAAAAGGATGATAATGGTAGCTTAGGGTTCAAACTAGAGGAGGCCAAAACTCCCAAAAAAAAAAAAAAAAGCCCCGAGTGACACGGGTGTGAAGGAGGAAAGTGTAAAAGTGATAATGTGGCATTTGGGCATACAATAATCACCTGTTATTTTGCCACATCGCCCTTCCATGCACGTTGCGGAGTTACGAATTTTTTAATATTTAAACAATATTCTGATGCACGTGGCTAAACGATTGTGGCTGAATGCCGCATTTCTTGTGGTGAGTGATATAAAATTTTCATATTTCTAAAAGTTAAAACAGTAAGAGCCATAGGTAAGACCAATGCTAACTTCATTTCCATCTCTATTCAACCATCAAACATCTAACATGATTAAGCAAAAAAAGAGGCTACAAATTCCCTCAAATTCGTAAAGAAAATATTGAAATGCATATAATGAAACCATAAGGGGTTGACATATGCACACTTTTTCTTTGGCAATTCTGTTGGCTAAAATATGAGGTTATTGTTTGATTTGTTTTAGCATATCATCCATATAAGTTCGACAAAGAAAGAAACCAGTGGAAGAAATGAGGTGCGGTGCGGTGAAGTTCATGGAGCTCCATGGTAGGGTTTTAGTTGTGTTCCAATAATAAATTAGGGATTTTAATTTTATAGCTATAATTGTGGTTTTCTGTTCATCTATGTCGTGTAATTGTCTGATAAATTGTTAGTGTACTTATTTTGAGTGTTTTGACTTACAAGGTGTAGAGCTGTTTAATTTTTAGATTCCTAAATGAGCCGTCCTTAAATTCCAATTACTTTAATTCCCATCACTATTTACATAGTATAATAATGGAACAGCTTCTTTCGATTTTATTTTTATTCTTTTTTATTTTTGGAATTATCTCTATTTCAGGTTTTCAACATGAATTTACATAGTTTGGCTTATTTGATTTTCACACCCTTAAATTTAACAACACAGAGCAGGTTGACAACTATTCCACATATGCTTAACTTTTTTTGTGCAGTATATGTGGTGAAGATTGATTAGACAGTGTTTCATACTTTCATGTGTATTAGTGGTTAGCAGTGTCAATACTTTCGATTGAAGTTTGTCAGAATATCTAGAGGATATCTCATGATTATAGGTATTTTTGTCAATTGTTATTCTTTCTTTATATATTTCTATAAAGTAACCATGTAAAAGTTTGTTAGTTGAGTTATATATATATATATATATATTGGAGGTATTTTTGTTGTAAGACTTGAGAATCTCCAGCTATGTAGCTAGCGTGATACATATGATATTTTCATCTATAAATGTAATTTAGAGGTGTTTAGCTTAATGAATCCACAAGTTCTGAAGCTTTTAAATAAACAAACTAATGTTATTTACCAAGTTATTTGTGAAGCTTGATTTGCGATTTTTGTATGGTAAAAGTTCCACTGAAAATAACAAGGTAACATCAGTCATTACAGATCTCATCCAAGGTATATTTTTGGAACTATATAAATCCCCTGTTTTAAGGTTTAATTTTTTATGAGTAAGCCTCAAACCACTGTTATCTGATTTTCTGAAGCTTAGGAACCTCATAAGCACCTCTTCATATTCCGTAGCAATTGCAAATTCTTGTACACCTCATTTTATAGTTTATTTGAATTTTA